AGAGACTGGACAATGAAAAAAACAGTTAAATATTGATCAGCCCCAATGAAGAGCAGGAAATGAAAATGTCTGGAGCAGAGATACAGTACAGAAATCAGTCATTTGACCTTTTTATTTATATTCTAACTCCAGAACCTAGTACAGTGCAGAATGAGCAGACACTGAGGTGAGAGAGAATAGTTAGGATAAATACCCTGCATGGGATAGGATACTTAAATGCATTAGCTACTGCCATTAGATTAAATTACAAGCAAGGGTATATGGCAACAAATGATACACAAGCAGTTCCAAATATAGAGGTGGCTGTTAAATTGTTTCTGATGGTGACTGAGGTGAATGCAGCAAGATGAAGAAAGAAAATTGGTGAATGTACTTGGGAGGTATGTGAAATGCTGTTTATGGTATTAACTACTTAATGGTCCATCTCTGCCCCTAATCAAAGCCCTAGCAATAAAGCAATTTAATGATTGACAGAATTTAGAGGTAAGGTATGGCTTTTATTACAGCATTTCTACCAGATTTTAAAGCCTGGAAGAAATGGCATTTAAATTCTGCAGATAAACTAATGCAGATATCCTCAGACTCTACTGTGGTCATCTGGAGGAGGTGGGGTAAATTGTTCTGGTAGGACGAGATGTAATCTAGGATAGACAGGATCTTAGAAGTGGATCTTTAATTATGGACAGACAAAACATTAATTTAGAAGTGCGGGAGGACATACTGCATTTCAGGCTGACTTATCATATCTGTTTTGTCTGCTTCATTCTGTGGTTAGTGGAAATGAAGTTGTAAATGTAATAATGTAGCAGCTGCTTGATTCTAGGCTAAATTGGTCTGGTTAAGCTTCCTCTTATTGTGGAATAGGAGTAGATACATGAAATAGTTGCAACAGATCAGCTGACAAGCTCTTGCCTGGTAAGTCCCCTTTTCTTTTTTTTAATTCATCTGCTTGCTTCGTCTGTTTACAGCCTTTGAGTCAACAAGGGTTCAGGAAAAAGCTGAAGCTAGTGTTGCTTTGGACTTATGCTTTCATCAATAAGAAGTCACGTTCCACAGAATTATCTAGTTTTAAATAATTGTTTTGCAGAGCAAGAAAAAAATATTCACTTAATCATGCAACTAGGGGTGTTTGACCGGGGCACCAGTCCCAAGCCCCCACATAAAGTGTGTGTGTGTGTGGGGGGGGGGGGGGGGGGGCAGAAGGGGGGGGGGGGGTAGTACAAGAATGGCAGCTGCTGGCCCAGGTGCCCCTGCTGTTGCTACTGTAGCTGCTGCTGCTGTCCAGGGAGCAGAACCTGATTGTTATGGCTCTGAATTTGCTGTAGCTGATCCTAACCGCCCCCACCCCACCCAGCCAGGTCCTCTCATCTTCCTATCCAAGCTTTCCAGTCATCAGAAAATAAAATGCTGTATTGCTTTCTAATAAGAGATTCAAAGGCATAGTCATGTTGTATGTTCCTTTTCTTCAAGAAACTTATCAAATCAGTTGTGATGCTCTTATAAAGGTCTACTTTGACTTGTTTTACTGCATAGACATGAAGCCAGGGAACCAGAAGTGCATTTTAGTGGAATTACTATCAATAGCAAACCATCTTATAGTTAGACAGCTTCACTGTTCAGTCAGACAAACTAGAAAAGAATAGGAAACATGAGCTAGAAAAGAGTGTATAGTCATGCAGATTTCTCTATTGCAATTATTCTAGATGTTGCATCCTTCCATGAGAGATTACTCTTATTTTGCTACTTTTTCCTTGCCTTGTCTTGCAGTCTCTTGCAAACAGAAAATATCCTGACCCCTTCTTTTTCTTCATGTGGGATCTTGGAATATATCTATGTCATTCTGTTCTCCATTTGTTGCTGCTCAGTTCTGTGTACTGTTTTTCTTAAGGTAGTTGTAGACACATGACTCCTTGAACTCACTTTGGACTCTCTATACAGACTTCCCATAACAAAACACCTTTTTTTTTTTTCTTGCTTTGTGTATTGTGCCCAGGCCTGTTGTACTTTTTCTATTCACCAAAATATTTAACATGAATATATTAAATGTGAAGAGTCATGGCAACATGGTAAGCCAATGTCCCCAGGTTGTATTTTCCATGCATGTGCCACATTTATGAAAATTATTTCTATTTGACATCTTGTGTTTGTCTTTCCAATGATTTGTTTTCTAGAAATTGTGGAAGAGTGTTTTGGTGAAATGAATCTGAATATTTCTGGGAGCAAAGACTTCAAGCCACACCTTACTTTTCTGAAGCTTTCCAAAGCACCTGCACTAAGAAGGAAGGTAATTTAAGCTGATACAAATTCTTTCCACTGGGCTTTATTTTAAAGCTGCTTTCCCTTCTGAAGAGGCTTTTAATGACTACTGGAAAAGCAATTTTCATTGCATCCCTTGAAATACATAATTTCCTACACTTGACTATGCTAGTTTGTAAGCTGGTACAAAGGGAATAATATTGGACATATCTATCTTCCTAAACATTTGAGAGACGGTTTGTCCTTTCTTCATTGTAGAAAGCATAGTGTGCTTTTTCTGCCATGTCCAATATTGTCTATAAAAGAGAGCTACACTGAACTGCTTCCATGCCAGCAGGGTACCTTTTGTAAAGTATTTAGCTGAAAACAAGATTAATGTCACATTGGAAGCCAAACTGCTGGTTTCTTTTACAATATAAATATATGATGTGCTGATCTAACCTTTATTGCGGCATGGTAGGGGATTTGACTGCTTTTATCACTTACAATTAAAGTAAAAAACAACTTTGTGATTAGATTGCTCTTTC